CTCGTCATCACAGGACCAGATGACCCGCGCATACACGCGGAGAAGTTTCGGCGCGCCCCCGGAGTGTTCCCGAATAACGACGTCAAGTATGAGGTGAACAAACTCCGAGCGTCGCAATATGCCCGACTGCACCGGAAGCCGATGGTGTATGTCCCTGCGCGCGACACTCCGACGCCAGATGCTCTGCGCGAGCGGCCAGATCTGCCACACCAAAAGATGGCCTGGCTGCAACGCCACGACAAAGAGAGCGGAGACCTGCATGGTTTTTTTGCCGATCGCGGAGGGACTGCCTGTGGCCCTCACCGATCACATCGACCGCAGCGAAGACAAGTACCTGCTTCGCGGACGCGTGGGGACCGTGCACTCATGGGTATGTGATGGCGACGAAAGAACAGGGCGCGTCTCCCGGGGAGGGGAGACTATCTTGCAGAAGACGCCGAAAGTGATATTTGTCCAATTCGATGAGGGTCTCGATGAGGCAGGGAACGCAAAACCGTGCGTGTGGACGATAAAGGGGCTGACCACGCCGGGCCTGCACCCAGTAACTCCGCAAAAAAAAGATTGGTTCGTGGACAAGGGCCGGCCGTGCCCGCGTCTGAAAGTGAAGCGGCGGCAGTTCCCCTTGGCCCCAGCGTTTGGAGTCACGGCCCACTCAGCACAGGGCCAGACTTTTAAGCAAGGCGTCATCGTGGTTCTGAGGATTGGCGGGGGAACGTCGCCGTTGTCGAGTTATGTGGCTCTGACGCGCGTGCGTCGCCGCGAGGACATGTTGATTTTCCGGTCTTTCGACCGCGAGCCGTGCACTCAGAAGGAGCGGAAGGGGCCCGGATACCTTTTGCAGCTCTTGCGGGGCGATCCCAATGACCCCATCGATTGGAATGCAATCGAGAAGGAGTTCATGCCTGCAGGGAGGTGCGCGGTGTGCTCGTCGGTGAAGTACAAGAACCAGTATGCGCGCGGGCAGTGGAGCCGGGACGACGGACTCCGCGTGTGCACGGTGTGCTTGGAAGGCAAAAAGAGCATTGGTACGCCGTGGCAGTGCATGGAGTGCTTTTATTGGAAGGGCGAGAGCGCTTTCCACGCTTCCCAGCACCACAGCTCGAAGTTGACGTCACGGCGTTGCGTGGACTGCCCCGAGAGGCGAATGTGTTATGTGTGCGACGAGCGGAAGTACGAGGCAGCGTTCGCGGAGTTTCAGTGGGACAAGGCAGGAAACTCCCGATGTAAAGGGGGAATGTGCCTGGAGTGCGAGGAGCTGGAGAAGCACCTGAAGTGTTCGCGCTGTGGTCACCAGAAGCTGCCGCGTGAGTTTTCTAAAGCGGAACGGGTCAACGACGAACCCACATGCAAGGCGCGTGTGAAGTTGCTGCGAAAGGAGGAGAAGGCGCGGGCGGAGGCTGAAAAAACGGTCGTATGCTCAAAGTGCGGGAAGTCGAAGAACAAGGCAGAGTTTTCCAGGTACCAGTTGGACCACACGGACAGAGCGTCGGTAGTGTGTACCGCGTGCGTCGACACCGAGGCTGCAGAGCGGAATGCGCAATCTAGGAAGTGTTCGAAGATTTGCGCGGAGTGTGGGAAGTCTCAGCGGCGCGAGTTCTTTTCTGGTCGCATGTGGGGCGACGTGGCTGCTCAGGACCGCAAGTGCATGCGTTGCATCGAAGCTGCAAATGCAAACCGGCTGACGGAAGGGCGGAAGAATGCCAAAGTTTGCGTGGAGTGCGGGAAATGTCAACCACGCGAGTTCTTTTCGGGTCGCATGTGGGCCAACGTGGCTGATCAGGACCGGAAGTGCATGCGTTGCACCGAGAGAGCGAGAGTGCAACGCGGATGTTGGAAATGCGTAGCCTGCAAGGGCGTGTTCCCGAAGATTGAATTCGGCCGCTGGTTGGCC